GTGGCTCTTGGCCAGCAGGGCCCGAGGGACAATGGCAGTGCCAGGAAGGGATCAAAGCCCTGCCAGGGCCACGTGCCACTGCTGGGCCATGGCCAGGGGCAGAAATAAAGCCCAGGGCTGTGCTGGGCACCTCTTTGGGCACCTCTTTGGGCACCTCCTTGGGCACCTCTTTGGGCACTGCCCTGTCCCTGAGCGCTCTCTGGAGTCTCTCAGCTGTGCCACCCCAGCCCTTCTGTCACTTGTCCTTGCTGGTGACTGTCACCAGGGCTGCCAGGCTGCCCCTCTCCCCTCCCTGGGGAAGGGAACCCCCGGTTCTGATCGAGCTTTGGCTCTGAAATCCCGGCTGAGCCCTCGTTTATCGCCCACCCCGCTGTGAGCTGGGAAAAGATGAGTGAGGAGGAGAAACGGGGATTTTAAAGCTCGGCTTTGCAGCCCCCARGCTCAGCCTAAGGGGAAGGGGTGGAAAGGGGACAAAAGCGCTGCTCACACCCCGATGGGCTCCCCAAAACCCCAATGTGCTCCCCAAAGTCTTCATCTCTCCCCATTTTTTGCCTTCAGAGTTTCCATTTCAGACTCCCCGAGCTGCCCCAGAAGATTTTCCTTCCTCCCCTTCCAACCAGACTCTACAAACTCCACATTTCTCCCTTTCTGCCTCCAGGGATTTATTTATTTTTTCACCTTTCCAGCCCTCCCCATCAGCAGTTTTCCTCCTCAGCTCTCCCTGCAGCCACAGCCTCTCCAATCCCAYGATGGTGACACCACTCCAGGCGAAGTTTTTCCTTTCAAATCCTCCCTGTGATACTTTTCAGGGAGTTTTTTGCCTTTTTTCATGGTGTTTCCACCCCTAAAATCACTTCCTGTCACCTCTGAGCCCTCTCCTGCCCCATTCCCAGGGCCCCACCCCAATTTATTGTCTAATTAACGCAATAAATGTGAAAAAGAACCAAATCTTCTCATCCRTGGTAATTTTATCAATTTTATGGTTTCTCCAACGCTGTCGCAGCACAAGTAGAACTGACAGCAAGGAATAAAACAGTTGCGTCTCTGGAATTTTTTATTACTTTTAATGCGCTGTCTTTTTTTTTTTTTTTCCTTTTTTTTTTGGTACTGGAAATTTAAATTATAATGGTGTGCTTCACTTAAAGAAAGTATCCATAGCAACAGGAACATCTAAATTATTGCAGGCTGATCACTTCTCTCCTAGAGTCACATCACATGCCTTTCAAAGACAGTCCCAGAGGTGCAGGATTTTAATAGAATTTTTTTTTTAACCTTTTTTTTTTTTTGCAAATAAACAAGTGAATACACAATGTTTTCTTCATCAGTGCACTCACTACCTACGGGAAGAGATGAAGTGAGTAAGTGCCAGCTCAATTTGCTACCCAGAGAGGGGGGATCCAGGCTTGCTCTGGAATTGGAGATTTTCTCCTCTGAATCAGTGGTTATTTCATGTGAAAGTGGGGAATTTTTGCCCAGTTCAGCTGATGGAAATGCTCTCAGTTCARGGGAAGATCACTGAGCCTGCAGCATCAGGAATGTGCCTCTGATTCCAAGCTGGCCACGGTTTTATTTGTGTTTTATTATTTCCGAGTTGACAGGACTGAGGGGAATGGGTTAAAACTCAGAGAAAGTGGGTTTAGATGGAATTTTGGGGAGAAATTCCACCCTGGGAGGGTGCCCAGAGAAGCTGTGGAGTACCCAGGGTTGGACAGGATTTGGGACACTCTGGGAAATGTCCCTGCCATGGCCAAGGTGGCACTGGGTGGGCTTTAAGGTCCCTTCAAACCCAAACCACTCCAGAATTCCAAAATCCCCCAGAAAACAACAGGCAATGGGTGATAGAACACCCTGATATTTTGCTCCCACCCTTAAAAAATTCCTTTAAAAAAATTCCTTTAAAAAATTCCTTTAAAAAAATCCTTTAAAAATTCCTTTTAAAAATTCCTTTAAAAAATTCCTTCTAAAAAATTCACTTCAACCACAGCAAAATCCCAAGTGATGCACGCACGGAGCTGTCAAACACGAGAAACAAACGCCCTGTGAGAAACAGAAAATCTTCTCTTTTATTTTTTTTTTTTTTAATATAAATTCCAATCTCATTTATAGGAATCCAATGCGTCATCTGGATCAATAGCAGGTGGAGATTGCTCAGGCAGGAAGAGTTTTTCTCTATAAAAAGCTGCAGTTGAGAGCGTTTCTGTGAGCCCATGTGTTATTGTGAGTGAGATGATGACAGAGAGCCACGTCTGCAGCTTCTCTTGGACAGCTCAGGGTGACAGCAAAGCTTTAATTTGTGGGTTTTTTTTTAAAGATTTAGTTTGGTTAATTTGTGTTTTGGGGGATTTTGAGATCTGTGGAGCCATACTCACCCCGGGCATGAGCAGCAGGGATTTTCTCTCGTGTYCTTTGGTCCCCAGTGCCCCTGGAAYGCTCTAATCCAGCAATTTTAGAAAAATCTCTCAGCAAAAAACATGCAGGTTCCAAGGGAATTAAGGAAACTCTAAAAATGGGAAATATTTCTGATCACTGAACCTTTGGAGATGGGCAGAGAAGTGGCTGTGGCTCATCCAGCCCAAAGGAAAATTAAAAACTGGGAAAAGGTGTCCGAGTTCTTGGGGTTTGGTTTGTTTGGGAAGAAGGGTTGAGAAGGCTCCGGGTATGGGGGAGAGGAGGGGGTTACAGCTTTTGGGAATGGGGTTTGCAGATTTTGGGAATGGGGTGGGGGCTGCAGGTTTTGGGAATGGGGTTAGAAGGTTTTGGGAATGGGGTTTGCAGGGCCTGTAGGTTTTAGGATCAGGATTAGCAGGGGATGCAGGTTT